CGCCCTGCCTTTGGCACGTCGGCTTGCAGCCGGGGCACCTTTTCAAGAAGTTAGTCTGGGGCTTTTTTTAGGCACCATGTTTAAAACAGCATGAAGCGTCACTAGGAAGTTTTAACAGTAATAAAATTGCTTAATTGCAAAGAGCTCATTTCGTGCTCGGAAAGGCTGGGGGAGAGCGGAATAGAAACGTTAGCATCCGAGAAGGACTATCGGGAAAGCACTGGGGGACGTGGAGAGCGTTGCTGTGCAGCGTGTTCACGGCTGACTTTTGTTGAAGAGAATTTGCCACGGCAGTCTGTAGCTAGCACCTTTCACCCAGGCCACAGCACCGCGACGCGTCGCTCCTGAGGATCCTCTTCCAAAAGGAGGGGGGAAATGGTGAAAACGCCCCGAAATGAAACCATCCAGAACCACTGGGCGCTCTGCCAGCGATTGCAGTGAATTCGCTGTCGGGCCGTAAAGGAAAAGGAGAAGCATCCCCTGTGCGGTTAGCTTTACGAACGTGCTTTTCTCGTCTTGACCTCACTGAGGTGCGGATAACGTGCTTAACTGCTTTTCTGGAATGGGAGCCTAGATACAGCAACGTGGGTTACGTTTACCCTAAGCATGCCTTGCTTTGCCGTCTCAGTTTGGTCCGCTCTCTTATGTTTTATTCTTTAATGTTTGACAATACCTGGTTTTGTGCTGGAGACTTTGGTACAACTTTAACTGGTGCAGTGCAGTCACTTTTTAAACTCTCGAGAAACGCTGAGCCGCTGAAGTAATTTTTATGTTTAAACCTCAGGTTCCTGAGGGTCCAGTTCATTTCTGCTGTGAATTTAAATGAGTTAATTTAAGCAGTGGGTCAGAAGCCACTACCATCGTAGTAGCCCTGTGCCTGATTCTTAATTAAAGGCAACAGGAGATTAATTTGAAACATTAATTTAAAAGTGCCTATACAAAAGGAAAGAATTATTGCAATAAAGCCTAAAGAACTTTTTTGTCCCTAGATGTAGAAGACAGAACTAGCTCAGGGTCCTGGGGGAATACAGGACATCCTAGTCCATCCAGGGTAAGTATATCTAATCTTTTTCCCCAAACCAGACTTCCTGCATATGTAAATTTACAGTCTTAAATATGAGTTTTACACCTGATTGCATAGAAAAACGGGCATGCAGAGTGGGCTCTAGCCTGCCTTCTCTTTAAAATTGCCTTTTTTTTTTTTTAAAACATTCAAACCTGATCCTGTGGTTGAATTTGGCCCCCGCTCCAGCACGGCGAACGGGTAGCGGGAACGCCGATTAAACCCCTTTTGCGGACGCCAGGGCCGCGCACCCGCTGCCCCGAGCTGAGCGCGCGCCGCCCCTGCTGCTGCTCGCCGGCCCGGTGTCCCCCGGGCGGGGTTTTTTGG